AGGCAATTCCATATTATAATTACTCTCTCTATATCTGATCGTCGTTGTGTTCCATCAACAAGGGCCATCAATGCTTGGACTTTCTCTCTCTGAGCCCTCCTCTTTTTCAATCTCTAGAAAAAGAATACTAGAGGTGCCAAAAGTTATGTACGGCTCATTTAAGTGCCAAATCAGAGATAAAACGATCACTTAAATACCAACGGCGAGAAATTCCGGTCCAAATAAATATGTGGCATTTATAATTAAAATTTTAATATAAGTTAGTATTTTTTAAAATAAAACCGGTCCACGTGTCATTTCCATGTGTACATTTCTCTTCATCTCCCTCCACGTCATTTTTTTCCTTTTTTTCTTCTCTTTTCTCCCTAATGAAAAGGGTTCAGGATTGGAGGGGCTCGTAACTGATAAGGGGGGGCGATGGAAGGCTTGGCGTAGTAGAAGAGTGTGTGGCGGGAGGTGGAGAGAGCGACGAGAGCACGGGCAAGTGGGAACCACTCACAAGTCTATAGGAGGATGTTGGATTCATTGACGGGTTGGAGAAAGAGGGCGAGGCACGACATGGTTCAGATCTGTGAGAGAAGCACTGTTTAGTCAAGATCGCTTGGTTTCATCTATTGTTGCAGAGCTCAATCGAATAAATAAAGGAAAGAGAGAGGGGAAGAGCAATCACTCCAGACGAACCAGACTCGACGAAATATAAAAGACGCCGATGCGATATCAAATTAAAAAGCCACGAAACACGTCGAGCAATCAATGAATGCCCAAATTGGACGAAAAACCAAGAATAGGTGTGCAAACCTCACCTAGACATTTCATTGAACACTTAAGGTACAACGGTCAAGGATAGAGCTAGAAAGCATTCGGGGAGTAAACTCAGACCAGAACCAGCCATAACCAAAAAACAACACTAGGAATACATAGAGAAAGGTATGAGTAGGCTCAAAACGCGCGGGAACCGGGGCCAACAAGCCTCGGTTCTCCGATTCAACAAAACAAGAGAAAACTTAGGCATACCCTGTGAAGGTAAAGTTGCCAGACACAATTTCTGGGTAGATTAGAACAAAACAGCTCCAGAAACCTCCTCGAGGGACTTGTCCGACGAAGGAGGCAACACCAACCGCGATTCAAACTCCTCACCATGTATGGCCGAGAATGGATCCGGCAGAGCCTCCGGTTTGCAGTCGCGTTTTTCAACGAATCAGCTTCATTGAGGTGGTTTTGATGAATTGCCTAGACAAGAAGCCAGAGAGAAATTCCCTTTCGCTTTCTCATTGTGCTCCCTTTTTCCCCCTCTGCGTTCCCAATTTATTAGTCGTTCAGCAAGAAAAACCAATTTTCTTATTGAACGACGTTGATTTTGGTCATGCATGTCACACCCCAAACCAAGACCGTGGCACTCGGTCCTAGCCCGGTTATGATTTCCTTTGTTCCGGGATTTTCATCACAACGTCCCGTTATGATTTTCTTTGGTTACATACAAGCGGAAGCAATTATACTTAACAAGCAACAACAAGAGCAATGACATGAGCTAGGAAGCATGTTCTTCAAACACACACTAATTTACATGATAGGTTCCTATTTTACAAGCCCTCTTTCCTTACGGGCCCTCTTGATTATTATTTACATCCGGATTGTATCCGGTCTACCACATACTATCCGTACGGCAAGGGTAGTCCTATCTTCTCTACCACGGCTTCCTTCACAAAACAAAAGTTAGTTTTCTCCAAGCTTGGTCGGCTAGTTATGGTCCTCCTGCGTTCCCATTTGGCACTTCATTACTAGCGGCCCCGGGTGGTCAGTCAAAATCAGAAAGGGGTTCAAGTAGGTCTCCATCAAACCAAACAAACCAGGCTTCATAGCAGTGGGGGACTAAGTTATTTGCATCTTCTTGAACCCAAACCATGGTAGTACATTTACGATATGTGACTTCGGACTCTACACCGACTATGTCGATCACGGAAACATGCATTTCTATTGGGAGGCCATGGCGAACTGGGAGTGGTGTAGCCATACCGACCAAGATGAAAATAATAAATAGTGAGTCACAACTCAGTAAGTAAATTCACTATATTTCGGTTAAAAGGTAGCCTCGCTATTGATCAAGAGAACAACCGTTACCGTTTTGCTTGTCGACGGTAGACCGATAGCAAAATGCTTCTTACCTTACCTATGTATTATACATGTCATGCTCACCAAGCAAGAAAATATCAAGCATAGTAATTAAACGTTGCATACAAGATCAACACACGAGATTCATTATTTCTTAACCAAAATCTATCGGTTCTTCCGGTATTCACCAGGCATCCGAAATCCATCGGGCATCGCCTCGAAATCCATCAATGGTGGCATCGTCCCGAAATCCATCGATGACGGCATCGTCCTGAAATCCATCGGCGGCGGCAATGTCCCGAAATCCATCGGCGACGGCTTTAATCCCTCATGTGATCATGCAACAAGCCTCAAACAATCCGGTTTATTATCTTATCAACATTAGCCCATGCATTCAAGCCCAAAGGCATGCGATGCTCGCGTAGTCCATGATCTGTAGGGCGAAATGCCTAATATGCGGGGCGTGATCTAGGGTTCGTGGCTCTGGCCATCATGCCAAGCGCCAGCTTGGAGCCTAATTTGGCCCTAGTCTATACGCCTCAACATAAACCCACACCAAGCCAAACTCAGTCTATCACGCCACAATATGGGTACAAGACCATACGATGTCCCGTCTCGTAACCCATTTGTGCCTTGACTCATGGTCATGATGTAAGAACAAGCAATCACTCATGCAAGCATAAAGCACTAAAACCAAGGTCATCACTCGAGCTCAACCACGCAACACCACATCCTAAGCAAAGGATAGGGAATTCACTTATTACAAGTGTCACGGGTGGTCCTAAAAAGGGTGTTCAGTGATGGTGAGGGTAAGTGAGAGAGAGTGACCGAGAGAGAAATCAAGAGAAGGGCCGAGAAAGATAGAGACCGAAGGAGTAAGGAATGTGTGCCGGTTGAAGGAAAGAATAGAATGGGGTGGTGGTTCACCTATTTATAGCCCAAGCTCTAATGATGATCTTTGCCAAATGGTCCAATCATTTGCATTGAGGTGGCGCCTAATAATAGAGGAAAATTTTGGAAGGATCTTAGACCTAATAATTGGGAGTTCAATTATCTTACAAGTGTCCTACTTGTCTTGCAAGCCTCTCATTAGGGTCATTATGCCTTATGTTTAGGGTATATGAATCACCATTCTCATTAATGACTAAGAGGACACCTAAGCCTTCAATGATGGCTTCTCTAATAATTTCATTGACTTGGTCTCATATTCTTCTTGTTCTCCAAGCTTCTTGAGCGTGTGACTCCTTTAGAACACTCAAAAACACACAATTATTGAGTATATTAGAAGATAAGATCTTTTCTAATGATTAGTCCACAATTATTGATCTAAGTTTAACTTGGTCTTCTTGGCTTCTTGTCCTCCAAGCTTGGGACGTGTAAGACTTGTTCTTGTCCTTCAAGAACACCCAATAATTCACTAAGGACAATTAACTTATGGTTCATCTTTTTCATTAAGCACAAACCTCCAAAATTTATTATTACAAAAGCAAAGGTTAACTAAGGCAAAACGAGAATTTTATGTGTTCATTAACGATCGACAATCCTTATTCGAACTGAGGTTTGGTGTGGAAATATGTCCAAGCATTACCAGACATAACCGAATCAAAGTCCGGGTTGATTGGTGCAAAGTCGGACCAATTGGAGTGACCAAGCGCATGGCCTGTTTGGTCTGGCCTGACCAAGCGCAAAGCCTGGCACATGACCAGGCCACACAAGCACGGGGCCGGGCACACGGCCGAGCCATACGAGCGTCGGGTCCTACTGCACAGGCACATAGCCGAGTGTACGAGCGCGGTGCCGGGCCGCACGATTAGTACACCGCGCACAAAGCTGGGCCACACGAGCGAGGGACCGGTTTATGGACCAAACACATGCATTAGCTCACGGATGGGCAAAATGCATAGCTCGTAGCTAAGTCTGTTTGGCACGGAACTAGGTCGGAGCCGGATAAGGCACAATGACTGGCACACGGCCTGGCACAGAGCCGATCCGTGGCCTAGCTGACGGGCACAAAGGCCGGTCTATGACCGGGCACAAGGGCATGTCTATGACCGGGCACAAGGCCTGGCTTGCGTGGCCGGCACAAAGTTTAGTCCGCGACCAAGCCACAAGGCTCTTGGCCTGGCACATAACTCATCCATGGCCTAATCGACTCAACGCATCGATCCATAGCCAATTCGCGACCGGTCCACGCTCGAGTATTAATGACCCATGGTCGATCGAGCCGCGTGGAATCAAGTACTACGGGATCAGTCCATGGTCATCCGCGACCGATGCATGGCCGAGCGGATTCATCCGCGACTGATACATGCCCACACGGCACTGATCCATGGTCATCCCGGACCGTCCCACCAGCGACTTTTTTTGTCGAAAAGTCAATCCATAATCAGATCACTCTAATCGACTTCCGTGATTGGGGAGTCATTCCATTATTGATCCCTTGGCCAATCCATGGACAATCCTTCGATCGTGCCATGACTAACCATCGATACACTCGTTCCGACCATACTATCCATTCTATTACCGACTCTCGAATCGGATCGCTCGCCAATTCCATTACCATTTACCTTTGGTCGCCTTGATCCAAATTGGGGATGTCACAGTGCAGGCAGGTGAACTTGTTAAATAATGTCGTTTTGGGCTTTTTATGCTTATTCAGACCTCCGGCGAGCCACGCCAGCAAAAAAATATTAAGATATTGCCACATCAGATTTCCGGCATTCGAGACCGGAGTTGATACTTAAGTGATCGTTTTTTTTTTAAGTGGCACTTAAGTGATCCGAAAAAAAAAATTTAGCACCAAACTAAGTGCCGTCCATAACTTTTGGCACTTCTGGTGTCGTTCTTCCCTTAATCTCCATTGCCGATGCTTCCACTAATCCCCATTGTCGATGCTTCCACTGGACAAAGACGATGATGGCCATGGCTGTCGCTTCTTTAGTCTTAAGGACAAGACCGCCCTTGCCCCCCGCAGCTTCACGGAGACCTTTTCTGATAGACGTTGCGTCGGGTCTTCACACGGTTGGCTCGTGCTTTTGGACGAGGACTCGGAGCCTTATCTCCTCGACCCACTTCGCGGCGGCCGGGGTCCTCCACCTCCCTCCCGTCAAGACGTTCTCCTATGTGCTCCAAGTGCGTTGGAGTGACGACGACGACAGCTGCAGTTCCGCCGCCTTTTACCAGACGATCCATTTGGGGATCGACGAAGCATGACCCTACTCCCTCTCCTGACACTGCGCAACTATATCATCTCGAAGGCCGTGTTATCAGCAAACCCTAATGGCGATGCTAAGCGCAAGAGTTCCTAGGTCCTCGTGATCTTTGGCATTGAGTCGAAGCTTGCGTTCTGCAACTGCGAAGACTTCGGCAGAGTTGGCGTGTGGATGGAGCTAACTGGTCATAGCGGTCCTTATAGCGATGTCACATTCCATGAGGGCATGCTCTTTGCTCTCTGCAACAGCGGATTTGTCGAAACGTGGGACTTTAACAGGGATCACCCCTTGAAAATTATGGAGATCAAGTCCTCTTTCCCGCGGAAATCAGCCGAGGCTGCACATGCTTTCAGGAATGTTTGTTTTACGAGCACATACTCGATCGAGGCAGCGGGTGAAATTTTGCTTCTCGTGAGGTTCACAGCAAATTTCGTAAATAAGCACGGTGTCCCAATCGAAGAAGATTACCTCCCGACGGAGGAGGACATACACCCTTTGGTCTATCCCTACAGAACCTTGTATTTCCATGTTTACGTGCTGGACATCAACAGCGAGGAGTGGGTGGGTTTGGACTCGATCGGCGACTGGGCTGTGTTTGTGGGCGGGAGCCATTCGAGATCGGTGTTGGCCCGGGAATTCCCAGAGTTCGAGGCAAACTCAGTATACTTCACCGACGATAACTGGGATCCCGGAGAGCGCCACGACTCGTACAGTGGGCACGACATGGGGGTGTACAGCTTGCAGAGAAGGAAGGTGAGGGAGATTTGCGAACTCGGTTCCGACAAGATCAAGCCTCCACCGCTTTGGGTTTTCCCATCTGATTATCGTTCTAATTGAGGATGATACAAACATTGTTCATGTGTCACTAGTTTTTGTGTAGGCTTTGTGAGTGAGAATAAATTAAGTGAATAAATTGCTGTCAATAAACACATTCACTTAATTATAATAAAAAAACAAGTTTAAATAAAAATTCTGTCACATATATATTAGTTTGTTTTATATTTATTTTGGATAGTTTACATTAATTCTAAAATGAAACTAAAAAAATACAACTTCATTTATGAAAAATACAAATTATCTATGACATTAACAGTGATAGATCATACCTGAAGACAATAATAAAAGGAAATTAGTAATCAATACATTATAATTAATATACGGTAGAAACCAAAAAATGCAAGTTTGACTTCTTAATTTGATTGTTACGTAATTTGGCAGATGTTATTTTTGTGGTATTTTTCAAGAATTTTTAAGGGCATTGTGAAACTTTAAATTAGTCCCCATCAAAATATAGAGTTCGAAACAGTTGTGGAAGACGGTAAGTTAGTTATGTTTTCGTATAGAAAGACAGTTATCCTAAAAGTTCTGCAACAACAGTAGAAAGCATTCATTCTCCCCAGACAGATCAATGTATCATCTAGACTGATTATTCAAACTTTGTACAATCTTCCTCTCCTGATAAATGCACAAAGAGAATCAGCAAAGGCAGGTAAAGCGAACGGGAATTTACAACACAGTCACTCTCAAGTTACTTCCCGCAATAGTAATATACACGAACATCCCCTTTGAAGTTAAAGCAACAATCTACATGGAAACCCCGTTATAAAGCAAATAGCTGCCGATGTAACTAAGACGTGTGAACTCACTGCCTCGCCCCGTGACTACCCAAGTCCGCAGCTACTTTAGCTGCGCGATTCAGCGCATCCGATACCCAAAGAGCGCCTCTAGAGAAGTAGCCACTGTTTACCACAGTGTTTGCAGCTGCCGCAGCTGTTCTTCCCGTGGCCGATACAGCAGATCTCGTGTACTCTGTAACGTGGTACTTCTCATCCACTGATTTAACAGCATCGACCCCGGCACAAATCTTATCGGCAAGGCCGGTTCTCTCAGTCAGCTCGGCAACCTTTGCCATTGCAGTCGCCGAAACTTGATGAGACTCGTCAAAAGCTTTTGCCTTGGTCAAGGCGTCTTTTCCGAGCGTATATCCCATGGATAGCATAGTTTTCACCACATCCTGAGCCACGATCACTACTTCACCAGGATTGGGCACATATTGGCTTCCATTTGGGCTCTGCATAGGGCAGGAAAGAAGGGAACTCCTTGGCAAAAACTCCTAACAATAGCAGCATATAATGTCACAACTCTGGTGCAGAGAAACGCTTACAGTTGAGTTGCTTCCATCTTCATGCCTTGAGGAAGACCTGTTCCAGAAATCGAGTTCATCTTCATATTGTCCCCAGCGTGTTATGCAGACACGCCGATCCACAATGGTTGCACCCTGAAAAAAGAAACATTTACATGTAAATGCTCACAAAGTCTCACTATATTCTTTAAAACATGTCAAAACTTATAAGTTAGGAGGACAGAGTAACATTTCAGATGCCATACGGAGAGAGAGAGAGAGCTGTAAGAGAGGAGATGGTGATGGTCTCAACTCGAGCGAGTGAAAATTAGTGGTGTAGTATGAAGGACAAAGTGATGTTAGGAGAAAGGAAGCGCAGGCACAGAGGAAGATGTGCTGATGGAACAACTCAGCCAGAGACAAGCAAAAGGAAAAAGAAACAACAATTCCACAGCATAAGCTAAAAAAAAGCAGGTTTTAAGGATGTCGTGAGAGTGAACATTGGTTCTACAATCTGTCATTTGACCTCAGAAGAACATTTCTCGTTACTCGTTCCCCTGCTTTGGTCCACAAATTTGAGAATAGCAACATGTTGATGGCCCCTAACAGTAGATGCGGAGCAGCTTGGTATCGAGTGCAGAATTTTTCTTGAAGTTGCATAAAACAAAAATACTTTCCTCAATCCTGACCTTTCTCTTTTATTGTTTGCAATCACGTGCAGTGATAAGTGCGAGGCTCAAAACACAAATGGAGTGCAGAATTTGGTCCACAAATTTGAGAATAGCGACATGTCGATGGCCCCTAACAGTACATGCGGAGCAGCTTGGTATCAAGTGCAGAATTTCACTTGAAGTTGCTCAAAACAAAAATACTTTCCACTACATAACCTTTCTCTTTTACTGCTTACAATTACATGCAATGATAAGTGCCAGGCTCAAAACACGAATGGAAGGAAAGTACACAGCAGCAAACAAACAAGACATATCCTAGACCCCTAACCAGTGACAGCTGAAAAGATCAAAAGAGCATGCAACAAGGGTGGTAAAAGGAGAGATCTGGAAACACTAGAATTTGTTTGTAACTGATGCAACATTGGTTATGTACAAGCGGATATTCCCCTCAGCTAAGCAGCAAGAAAAATGGAACCTCTCAGCTATTCTCATGCCACATCATGTAGATAGTTGCAGCATAATATCTTTGAGAAGAAATGCCAAGCTATGCGCATGTATTGCGTGTAGGTCAGTCACTTCACGACGGCGTTCTTCTCCAAGCAGAGAGACACATGAGTTCAGTCAACAATGAATGGGGGATATTACATCAGAAGGCCTCTACTTCTGCATTACTTATCCAATTTCAAAACTCTTAGGTGTTGGATGTTTAGTGACTTACACTGAGCAAGACAGCAGTTTCCTGAGAATAAGCATCTTTGAATGTCACATAGCCTGTACACGCAACATCTCCACACCTATCAACCGACACAGACGCAATGCAAATGTCAGGAAAAAAAAAAAAGAACACATGGGAATACATTATAGCATGTCGCGGGGGCAAAAAACGTATGCACTAATAGCACGATCGATGAGAAAGCATGCCGAAAAGAACAATCTTTCACAACGATACAGGACCCCCATCAGCAAAAATAAACTCCACCTAATCAAGTCATTACATATCGATGTTTATCATAGGAAAAATCCAGAGGATGGTGATCCGATCCCACTGCAATCTCAGCTGAGACTAAATTTCATCAATCTAGGCATATACAAATTGCGAACTGGAAGGCAGACTCCAGTCTCAAGCTCAACCCTTCCGAGAACCCAAAAAAAGCAAACACCTTATGCTCACCGAACGAACAAGGCAATTAGAGGCGAGAGACGAGACGAGACGAACCTGACGATCTCGACATGGACGATCGCGCCGGAGAAACCGAAGAAATCGTCGAGGTCCTTCTCGGTCGCTCTGGGAGATAGCCCCGTGACTTCGATCGAATATCCTTCGGAGCTCATCTTCACCCCGAAAAATCCCCCCCGCCAAATCCCGATTTCTCACCCCCCCTGGCTCCGACCAAGCTAGTCCCTAAGCACAGCACCCAACGGGGTCAGTCATCCCGACAGCCACTTCCGAGTTCAAGCTTGCAAGCCCACGTGGCTGTCCCCTTCGCGTGTACGAACCCAAAAGAAGCCCCTGCCAAAAGGGCGAAGATTCTGATGGTAAATTTCTCAATTCGTGTACCTCCGAAGCTGTGGGTCGCAAGCAGAAACCGCAGATCGAAGCGAAGAAGAAGATGAAGAGAATGGAGAGACTTCGAGACGAGACGCAACCGTCTCCGACAGGTGGGTTCTGGTTTTTGGCGTGTGAACGGTTTCTTTTGGATTTTCTTCGGAAGCAACGGCCGCCGGTCGCCGTCGTCGTGGGACCCCCCGGGACGTCGTGGGGACACCGTCCCGGTCGGTGAGCTTCGACGTTCGTCGGATCGAGTTTCGGGTTGGCCCGCCCGGTCGTGATGGATCAACGACGTTTCACGGGGGGCGAAAACCGGGTTTGATGTCCCGGGCTCGGTTGCGGTGACCTTTCTGATCCGGAACGATAGGCCCAAGGCCCATGAAGCGTATAGAATTAACGTAAGCAGACCCCAAGACCAATTACTTTCTCTCTCTACTACAGGTTTGATGTCAATCTATTGAAATGGCTTTCACTATTACCCCGATTTACATAATGTAACTTCGATATTGGATTTGATCTTTGCACCTAATCTTAAGGAAAAATGACATAAATGGTTCATAAACTTTGACTCAATATGCAATGTGATTCATAAATTTTTAATTTGTTTAATACGGTTCCTAGACTCTATATATAAATGTTCAATGTGGTATCTAAATTTTTAATTCGTTCACTATGGTTCATGAACTTTTAGTACATGTTCAGACTATATGAAAAGTTCAGGGGTCATATTGAACAAATTAAAAGTTTAAATACCATATTACATATTGAGCCAAAGTTCAGAAACTATTTATGCCATTATCCCTAATCTTAATTAGGAGCTCAAATACTAGGGTTCTCCTAATGTTCATCGTCTCCCTCACTCTCCAAAATCAATCTCTGGTCCAAGCAATCGCGGCTGATGATGATAGCACAATTATTAATGATTCTCAAAGAAGATCAATCTCTAATAAATTAGTCTGGAACAATCCGTGTTAACGAGACTGTTTGACCAGCTGGTTTAAGACTGTGAACCCACGATGACTTGCAGAACAATCCAAAGGGAAAAGGGGAAAAAAGAAGCGAAAGAGGGTGATATGTCACAACAAGATTGCACACTCGCTGCGGACATGTCCCAGGAAATGTCAAGCTCTGTCATCGACCACCGCATGACAGGATTCGGTTTCGAAGGGTTTGAATTTTGACTGTCAACAGTAACTATTAGGTCCCCCGTGTTGATTGACGTGGACCAGAACAGGACACCGCCTACTTTCTTGTTTATCTAAGGCAATTACATTCATCATTGCGTAATCCATGAGATGATTATCAACATATGGTTTGGATGGAATACCCAAAGACTCGCCGGCCTACCAAAGGAACACCGAGTTATTTCCGGAGTTACGTGGATTAAATCCCGGTCCCCTATGTAACGTGCGCACGACACGTGAATATCCAGCTTAGTGCAAATAAAATTCATAACAATTGCATGCATGCATGCATCCGTAAAATTTGTCCAAGGGATTGATGGAGTTTAGCATTTCTATATTATGCTCAGATTATTTTTTGCATTTCTTTCTTTTTTCGGCTATACAATTACTCGGTCGTTTAGATGTAAATAAGCATGCTAGTTAATATAAGGTCGCCGAGATTATGTAAATTTCATGCGATATACTTAGGTAAAGGAATATATCTTGAACCTAAACATTAAATCCCCTATCTGTGGAGTCAAGATCATCGTCTTCAAACAGTATATCCGTGTTAAGGTTTTGTGAGCTTCAAGGTTGACCCGACATGGGTCCACCCTCTTTTCCTCGAATAATGGGGAAATCCTTTGAACCTGATTGAACAAACGGACGAACCCCATGGCATTATCTAGCCTCCAAAAGCCAAATATTTCAAACTTAACTGTGCGAAAATTTAATATTCTCGTTAGCGAGTGTCGCAATCAAGAGTGGGAAACCGAAAAAAGGAAAGGAAGATAACATTAAGTATTGCGTCTTCCGGAAAAATGCGGAGACAAAACGTAAATTACTCGGACACGAAATGCTAAAACGTTTAAGAGCTACAAAAGTAGTACCCTTCTTATTAATAACATATAATGGAAGTTAAATAACTACAAACAAGGTTTTTTTGGGAAGAGAGACATGGACATGAGCTCATGTTAGCTCTCAGTCTCCGAGGCCTACATAGCGACCAAACCCTAGCTCTAGCTAGAACTAGAAGATCATCAAGATTAATATAAGGAACGGTACGAGAAAGGAGGGAATTAGGAGGTAAAAATTACGAAAGGGGAGAGTGTATCAATAATTGCTTATTTAACTGCTATCGTCACATGAGCAAGCTCCTGATAATCGCCGCTTGCTCGCTATCGGAGTCCGCCAAGAGCTCGGACAGCCGCTCGCTAAGATCATCTACTTCTCTGTGCAGGCTTCTTATGTAGTTGCAAGTCTCCTGCAACACCTTGGAAGCCGATGCCTGCATGTACATTCCACAAAGAAAAAGGGTGGTTATGATATTTTCACGGCACCGATAATACTTTTCTTCACGTTCTCTAACAACACTAAATGGTTGTGGAGGAAGCTATTATTGACGTTTATCATGAACCTATGAGTTACGGAATGACCGATAGATATTATTTAGAGTGTTTATGTAAGAGATGAAGTGAATAATGAGAGCTATACCTACAGATATTCTCTGTCAGTACAAAACGAAGTTAATGAGGGGGGGGAACAAGAATGAGTCCCACACCCCTCAAGTTGCAGAGAGACAGAATTAAGCAACCCAACAAGAAAATTAATGAGAGGGCTATGTGTGGGTTCTTTATTTTTATTGAATGACTTTATCTTGTATGCGAAACCACGAAATGAAGACCACACAAAACTTATAAGAGTCTCAAGTGGAGAGAGAGAGAGAGAGAGAGAGAGAGAGAGAGAGAGAGAGAGGGAACAAAAAGAGCTGTTGATAAATTTTCTCTGTTGTGTGGTGTGTGCGCGCGCGCGCGCTTTACTTTTTTTTACCTTGTCGGAGCGCCTGTTGCGGATTTCAGGAATGAGACGTTGCAACTTGGAGACGAGGTCAGCGATCTGGTCGTCGCTGATTCTTGACACTCCTCCTGACTGCCTCGAGCGGGATCTTCTGCTAGACATTGTTGTGCAGTGAGAGAGAGAGAGAGAGACAGAGTGTGTCAGAGAGAGGTGAGAAAAAAATGACGAGGAGTGAAGCTAAGAGGAAGGTGGTGCTGATCTCTCAGGAACAAGATTCAGATAGAGAGAATAATAAGAGAGAAAGGAGGGAGAGAGTTAATAAGGTCTGTTTTTTGCGTCAGAGAGGACTCGGAGAGAAATGGGGGTTAAGTTCTGGGAAGATGGGTTATGGAGGGAGGGAGACTGTGGAGGGCCGACTATACTTATAACGGCGAGAGAAATAATTTTCGAGACAGGCTACGGACAGAGAGATAAGGGAGCCATGAAAAAAATCAAGAAGCGAGTAATAATGAATGGAAGAGAGAGAGAGAGAGAGAGAGAGAGGGGTGTTGGGGTTGAAGAAGACAAGTGCATGGGAGAAAGCAGTGGGCTACGGTGGTGCCTTTAAATAGGGAAAGAGAGAGAGAGATGTCCTTCTCCAAGTGCCTGCAAATTGGGGTTAGAGTTCAAGTGGTATTATGAAATGTGCCGCTTCATCAGACGACGCATTGGCCCTATTTGTGTCAGCCCCCGCCATGCATCCCCATGTTATCTATGCTTACATTCCTGTCAATTTGGCCCTCTCACCCGTCCATATGTGTTAGTAGCCCCTCTCTCCAATTCAATGCGAGAACATGGAAAACTGGAACAGTTCCTTAGTCAATTCATATTCTTCCTCTCATCCTTTGAATCGGTGGGGAAAATCATGTAACCTCTTGGATGGAGGCGTGGATCTCATGATTTATCGAAAGATATTTAGAAAAAGATTTCGCAGAAACAAATAACGTTTCGCACCAATCATGATTGGAGAAAATGGCAAGTATGATAATATTAAGTAAAAACCCACCAATTAAATTTGAAGGAAAACACGACCCATGAAGGAAATAAGTACTGGAAGCGGAAGGCACCCAATGCATGTGTTATAAAGCAACTCCTGGTATTGATTGAAAATACCATAACGTTAAAGCTTAAGTGGCAAACCATCCTTTTTTGAATTTAAATTGTTAGAGAATGACGGGAAATGCGTCGATACACTCTGTTCCAGAATCACGATGCTTGTGAGTTCAATGAGATGAGTTGGAATGATTCCGCACATATTATTCAAGACTATAAAGAAGGGGAACTCGTAAATGGGATTATGCTTGGGGCGTGGGAGAATCAAAATTGAGATTTCTGACTCAGAGTACCAAATCAAGCTCAAGGTCTGCAATCACCTTCCTTATGAATTGATTATAAACTGTCAGAGAAGATTAGAAATTGTATCTTCGTATGCTGTAAGAGACTCTAGTTTATTCTCTTAAACAAAGATTGCCAGGACTTGCGAAACTTACTTTATTAATTTCCTTGGTACGTAGGTTTTCTGTTCACGTAATTATTGTAAGACTATGTAAGTGGACTGCGAAGTGATGCCATTTGACCCCTCATGCGCATCCCCGGGACCTGACATGGCACGTGTCGTCTCGTGAACTCTGCCCAAGCCCTGCTTTTTTGCCGGATTTGTTAATATCGCATGAATTACTTTATACTATATAAACAATGTTGTAGGGCGTATTAGTAAAAATTTATATCTTTAGAGTCACGGAGAATAGGGTAAGAAAAAGATATCGACGGTCGAATTTCTGCATCTGACTTGACATGTGACCGACCGACGGTGCTCATATCTGATTGAGTAATCAATGGTAGAACAGAATCCGGATCTTATTTGAACTATCCATGTTTCCAAGTCTTTTTTCTTATATGAAATATGGATGGAGACAAACACGATCGAACACGATAAAGAGACAAAATGGTGGACAGCTTTTAATGGTTTGGAAAGATATTAATCAGAAAAAAAAAAAAAGGAAGATAGATCAGTATCCTAAGGCTGCGTATGGCAACTTGCCAAATAGTGTTTGATTCTGTTCTTTTGTTCCCAGAATCAGTTTGGGAATAGAAATCCGTTTGTTTAATTTTTTGATTACGGCACAAATTCTTGCAAATTTGTGCCCAAAATCAGTTTTGGAGCAGAATAAAAATAAAAAAAAAGTAGCTTCTTGATTAAGGAACAAAAATGAGAATCGGTTTTTTTTCTTCTTCTTTTCTTGTTTTTATAATAGAAAATAATGTCCGGCGCAAGGGCCACCCTTGCCGTATCTGGCGATATTAAATATTTTAATAAAAAAATATTATTAATAAAAAATATTTACCGGCCATAGCCAGCGACCAGGCCATGGAGAAAAAAATAAAAAAAATATTATTAATAAAAAAAAAATTACCAGCCATGGCCAGAGATCAGGCCATGGCGAAAAAAAATATAAAAAATATTATTAATAAAAAAAATTTTACCGGCCATGACCAATGACCAGGCCATGGCGAAAAAAATAAAAAAAATATTTTCAATAAAAAAAATTTTATTAAAATATTTTCAATAAAAATATTTTTTATAAAAAAATATTTTACCGGCCATGGCCAGCGACCAGGCCATGGAAAAAAAAAATATTTTCAATAAAAATATTTTTTAGTAAAATATTATTAATAAAAAAAAATTTATAAAAAAATTATTTTACTGGCCATGGCTAGCGACTAGTCCATGGCAAAAAAAAAAGAAAAAAATATTTTCAATAAAAATATTTTTTAGTAAATTATTTTTTAAAAAAATTATTAATAAAAAAATTATTTATAAGAAAAATTTTTACCGGCCATGGCCAAAAAAAATAAAAAATTTATTTTTAATAAAAGTATTATTAATTAAAAAATATTTTACCGGCCATGGCCAAGAAGGAGGAGAAGAAAAAAAGAAAAGAAAGAAATATTAAAATATTTAAAATGTTATTAAAATATTATTAATAAAAAGAAATTTTATGCCGTTACCAAACGTATTTCTGTTCTTTTACTATTTCAGGAATAGAAATTTTGGGCCGTTACCAAACGCCTTCAAATGCTTAGAATCAGTTCCCGGGCACAAAATAAAAAAAAATCATTTCTGACCAGAATCTGTTCCCGGGCACAGAATGGTTGCCATGCGCAGCCTAAGAAGATCATCCCTCTACTCGAAATCTCTAATGGAGTGACGTGTCATCATTGCAAATGTCGGGCATGGGGGTGTCTACACGTGACGGAGATGGACCAGCAAATGTTTCCGGCGAGATTCTTGGGCAGGGTTTCGATCAGTCCGTTGATGTACGCAGCGCTTGATCGTGTGATCAATTTAACTATTGCAGGCAACATTAAAAAGAAGATGATTGGAAACTGGATCGAGAAAGATGTCATGAATATGCCCTCGCTCCCATGATGGGGGTGTTTGTGGCTAAGTGATCCGGTTTCGGGCCGGAACGAGAGAACCCTACTCGACCGCTGCTGCCGCCACCGGGTTGCTGGAATGTCGAACCAAGCCAAGACATGGACCAGCTGATTTTGGAACCAATCGATTCGAGGCTGATCCCCAGTTATGCCCCCAGAATTGGGAATTGTTAGAAATTTTGATCAAAGCAAGCTCTCTCTAGATACAAAATCGGATCAAACTAAATTTAACTCTAATGTTGAAATAGTTCAACTAAATAATTGCTTCTTGAAAAAATTCGCATCGAAGTTTTACCTTATTCTAAATAAAGAATTATCTGGATTAGGTCTGAGAGTCGATTCCACCCTAAATTAACCTAGAACCGGCGGTTCTATTATGGAATAAGAAGTTCTTGGTTAGGAACGGCATTTCCAAGGCTTGGACTGAGAAATGAGTTGGTATGGACCAATTTTGAGTCCCTACGACTAAGAACTGACTAGATGGTTCTCCTCGGAATCTACCTCAACTGGAGCCGATCAGACGGTTTTAGTGGCCAATGGCTCTAACCTGACCCTTGTAACCATATGTTGGTCCATCTTGAAATAGCAGTACAAATTATGAAATTCCACCGTCATTCTCTAGAAAATCAAGTGTCTAGCCACTTCTTTCTAGAAATTTAGGGCTTATTAGATTGGGCTTACATCAATTAGCCACATATAACTCGCAAAACTTTGAAATATTAGTTTGATTTAGAAAAACGAACGAAAAATTTTGGGTCTTAAAATTATAATAGCTATACATGGTAAAAGATTTTTGTGTTTTAGTGTAAAAAAAAAATGTCACACTTGAAACACAGAAGCTAAACATTTACTTAAATTTTTTGAGTTAAACTTGCTAATATGCAAAAATAGTCTATATCTATGTTAGGTGTTTTGACCCACCTCCCCTCCCCTCCCCGGTATTTTTTAATAGGTTATGTGGTCAGAAAAACTTGCGAACACGATCTCAGAGGCAGAGATTACGCGTCGGGATCTATGTGGACCTTATATTTTCCCCCCCTTTCTAATCAGTTTTCACTCTTCTGTATCTTGGACCAAACCCTACATGAGAGGGACTGGCGCTGTGTTTCATATCCTTATAAGTCTTTCATTTTTATAATGTCTGCCACTATTCAATCACATGTTCGACGCACGAGATATGGGTAACCGTGAGTTATCGTAACTCACAAGCATGGAAAATCGAGCAAGAACGACTCTTCCACCAAACCCAAAATTCCGATCGCATATATATGGTCGTGGAGTGCTCCTGCGGGATCACGTAACTAAAGTTTCAGAAGCTCACCCCCACCCACCCGATAAAGACGTCGATGTTTACGGTTCGTGTGCGCACTGCACGTTGGCGATGTTCGGTTTGAGCTTGTACTATGTTTACTGTATCCAAGTATGCGGTCAACAGGAGTTGACCTAAGTCGCCCATTGAATGGTCAACGCCACCCGCATGCCATGGCCATAAGCAATCCACGAAGGTGATTTCCTCGAATTTCTCCACCTCGTGATGCACACGTTAGCCGTACGCTAGAAATTGCATGAGTTTCGCAAACGGAGAATTACCAAAAGAGTCTTAAATCTATTGCAATTGTGCCAATCCAGTCCTAAACTTTCTTTCTTATCAATTGAGTTGTAAACATTTTGTATTTATGCCAATTCAGTCCATCCGGCCAATTTTAGCAGGAAATCGCTGACAAGAATTCCGGCCGTCATACATGGCGTGGACAACGCTGACGTGCATAATTTTTAACAATATTTTTATATTTTTAAAAAAACTCAATTGTGCCGACGTTGATATGCACAATCTTAGATCGTCATGGCTGGGTGAGGCTTGAACTCGCCAGTCAGCCAGAGGAAGAAGGAAGGAAAAAAAAAAGAGAGAAAGAAAAGAAAAATAAATAAATAAATTCGAAAAGTATTAATATATTATAAAAAATTATCCACGTCATCACCGATCGATGTCCATGTCAGCGATTTCCGCCAAAATTGGGCGGATTCACTGAATTGACACAAATGCAAAAGATTTAAGACTCAATTGGCAAAAAAAAAAAAGTTTTAGATTA